CCTGTTGCTTAGCAAATGGCATTCTTCTTGGTGGTTGCCGAATTGGGTGAGCTTTACCAGTATCTATTCTGTGCTTGACCAAGTTTGTCCGCCCTGTTGATGTTGATTCAAAGATATCACTTTCGTCTGCTATGAATTTCTTGGCAGCTTTATATTCTGTTGGTGATAAGTGGTCCAAGGAGGTTTCCAGAACTTTCAATGCACTGTCATCTCGTTCCCTCCATCTCTGCTCGTTAGTCTTATCACATTTTGCTACACCCAACTGACTGGTTCACAAGCTCCGATAATATCTCCTTCCCTTACTGTTATGGTGGTAGGTAAAACATTTGCTACCCTCACAGGAATGTCTCGTTCGGTGGTCACTAAAGCTCGGGCAAGTAACAGCTTGCTGGGGGATTCCTCACATGACTGTACTAATCCAACGCAGCACCCAGGGTCCTCTTCTAATCGCGCATGGATGATCTTCTCAGTGAATCCAGGAATTCTCACAGTCTTCGCTAGTCGTAGCCTCACAGACGTCTCCCTCTCGGCCGGTGTCGTTAGTACAAACTCTTCTCCTCCAAATTTCATGGTCTTCTGATCACTGTCGAATGAAAACCCGTAGTCACTTATCAGATCCATGCCGAGGATAAACTCATCTTCGATATCTGCGACGTATACCATGTTCATTATATGGAGTCTTCCAAGCGTCAACTCAATATCAGCCATCCCTCGTATTGGTGCATTTTCTCCAGTGACCGTACGAAGAACAAAGTTGGAAGTGGTTGGTTTTATACTTCCAGGCCGGAGAATGTCACTGCGTACCAGAGAAACTGATGCACCGGTATCTATGGTGCAGGTTACATCCATTTGGTTGATTTTTCCTTTGATGGTCAGGCTATCAGTTGTTCTTCTTATCCTTTTGATGTTAATGACCCTGGGGGCTTCGTTATTACTAGCCAGCATGCGCCCCGATACGCTGGCTAGTTCTAGTTTTCCTGGTATCTATCTGAGGACTCACTAGATGACCTAGTCCTCGCAGGTGAGTACGACCGTGATGGCGTCCTTGCAGGTGAAGAAGATCGTGGTGGTACTCTCACCTTACAGTCCCTTATCAGGTGTCCAGTTCTGCCACAGCGATAGCAGGATCTATTCCGCTGGTTACTAGACCCACTCTTAATTTCTTTGAGTTTCTCAAGCACTTTTCTCAACATTTTCGCCACTGGGTCCACGTCTTCGGAAGGCTCCTCGATGGACACAGCTCTCACTTTTGGCCTAGAGGTGTTGAAGGCCGCTTCTACCTCCAGAGATCTTACTAGGGCTTCACCACTCCTCTTAAAGTGTGTAAGCCTCAGAGTCTTCTGTATTTCTGAGTCTCTCAGCCCTTCGATGAATACCTGCACCGCCAGTTGTTCTTTGAAGTCCTCTGGTGCCTCTGGGTAGGCTAATTGAGTCAGTCTTCTCACATCTGCTTCGAACTCCTGTAGGCTCTCTCCAGACTTCTGCACACGATTTTTCATCTGAGCCCGGTGAAGCTGTTCTCGATGTTGGTCACCATACCTGAGTTCTAGCGCAGCCACTAAATCTCCGAAGTGGTTTTGTTGTTCCACTGGGATCGACTGTAACATCCCCAAAGCTGGTCCTCTCAGAGCTACAATGAGTGCAGTAGCTTTTTCCTCGTCACTCCACCCATTTGCACTTGCTGCAGCCTCAAATTGTCGGCGATACATAGACCAAGGCGACTGTCCATCAAAAGTTGGTGGTTTTACGGAAGAACCCGATGTGGCAACCCTGTCACGACGATCTTGACTTCGTAGCGAGGCGATCTGATTCGCTACATCTCTTTTGATTGTATCGAACATGGAATCTATTCTTGAAACTTCCTGGTTAAGCTTGTCGTCAATTTTGGTGAAATCTGTCTTCAACTCATCTATTTGCACATCAGTTTTATGCAGAATTTGTTCGAAGAAGATTTTCTGATGTTCTCGTTCTTTTTCTTGATGCTCCAGAATTTTCTGTAACTCTTCTTGACGACGTTGCTCTTCTTCTAATTTTTCTTCATGACGACGTTTCTCTTCTTCTAATTTTTCCTCTTGACGACGTTTCTCCTCCTCTTGTTTTTTTTTCTGTCGTCATTCCTCTTGTTCCGCGAACTGATTTTGCATAAATTTCAAAATGTCTTCCATCGCGTCGTATGACGTACTCCTTGTATTCACCATACGTCTTCAAATGTCCTCGAAAAATCCACACTTCTGACACCACTGTTACGATTTTACTCTGGGTCCGTAATAACTTAACACTCGGTATAACACTTAAAACGATTTATTCTGAACACTACTATACAATAATTACAATACTCGTACTAAACACTTCCGATTCACAACACTTCTTCGATCGTTATTATAACGCTTCCAAATAAAGACTTCCCTTCCTGTCCCTAACAACATCTATTTATATTACCTAATAAAACGTCTAGATTCCACTCGAAATATCGTGAACAGGTCGATAATCTTCTCGAGTCATCTCAATAGCCGTCGAATCACCTAATTACTATTCCAAGAAATATGGCTTGTTTACATCTCGCCGCAGGTAGCTGGGATTGATCGCCAGGGTCGTAACAATATATTATAGAAATGTATCTCATTTTGTACCTGAGTTACATCAATTCTATAAGCTTTCAAATTGTCATCACCCTATATATGGCCAACCGGACATGGTATCAGAGGTAATCATATGAATCCTCATGTTTATGATCAAGACCCATACTGTGTCACATAATTGGCCGATTCTAGCCGTTTGTTTTCAAGTTTTCAGTGATTGAGTAAAAATCAAAATTCTGATGTTTTTCAATATTTGTCTTTTCCCAAGAATATTACCTTGTCATGATGGAATGCAATACTCTGTATGTGATATTATCCTCTAACCGAATAGAGGGATTCATGAGGTAGATATTAGACGTGAAGAGTTCATTCCTACTGAAGAATAATCACGACTTAGAGCACATAATTCAAATTGATGCAAAATATTCTAAACAGCCAATATCTAATGTTTGACACCCTGTAGCTCGAAAACTGGTCATAGGATCGATCTGTGAATTGGACTGTGTGATAAGGACGATAATGTCTTAAACATATAAAATTTTCAGAAAATTTAGCCGAAAGCCATTTTACGTACTAAATGTGCGGGGTCCTTTGCCAACTAACTGATTGCCTAACGCAGCACATCTTACACTTCCGAAACAGAATTGAATAATGTCGTATCAAGATTGAGTACTAATTGAAATGTTGTAAGATTTCTTGTAACGCCTATGGATGTAACGTGACAGCAATGTCATGTCAGGGACGCCTATACACAAAACCAAAGTCACTAGATCATTGAAAAAGAACGGAGCTATGATCTGTTCGTAGCCAATTCAAAGTGACAATTGACTGTTCGAAGTGGCAAAACAAAATAAATGAATATGGAGAACATCAAAAATAAGTTTATGAATTCCAATGTGATTTTTATGTCAGGCGGTTCTCTTTCACGTTGAGTCGACAAAGCACACGTGCTCATTCCTCTTTTCATATGTAGGAGATAAAGGGATAAATTACTCCAAAACTCATTGCATTTGTTACATTTCAAGTAGGTATGTATATCTTATTATGGGTGGAAGGGGTAGAATTTTGAATGTTTAATTCATGAACTTCTTGCTGTGGATATCTAGGAATGTTTACATCTCTTGTCAATCAAATTGACAACTCAACAATTATTTTCCAGGTAGCAAAAAAATACCGTTCCTAGAATATGCTTCGCATCCTGCCAAAAGGCAGGAGAAAAACTGGTAACGTAGTTACAGCTACCGATAAGGATCTGATTTCAGTATCAGAGGATAGGAATACCATTATTCCAAAAATCTATAGCTTAAAACTTTGAAACTCTGAACATGGGAGCTCATATAGGCGGAAGTTGAATTGTGAGCAATTTTCGAGTGTTTTGTACTAGGTTTTTCAGAAATTAGCCACATGACACAATGATGATCATCACAATGAAAAATGTTTTTGCTCTATTTTTTCATGTTCTGGTTCCTAGAACGCTTCCACCATTCCATTGGCATTGGGTATGTCAGCAAATCCATTTGAAATTCTTCAAGAGCATCGCTCTTAAGATATGTTGAATTCTCATGGAGGATTACCGGGCAAGAAGTGCTGAAGATGGTTCATCCTTGGCCTGAGAATGTCTCGCGATACATTTTTGTAACATCCGCGATGTAGACAAGAAAAAAAAATGGTCATCGACACCTTCGAATGGAATAGCTTGACATACGGCTCTAACCGAAACACAGGTCATCTCATTCACCAACACGACCTATAATGTTATGTCCTGGGTTAAAACTCCCCACACATTTCAGATTCAAGAAAGGTATCAGGCCCAATTATCAATAAACTCAATGGAAGCGTTGGTCCAACGAATATATCGGTGGACTGAAAAATACGTACTGAATGGAGATAAACATCTGGATCAGTATTACGTGGTACATTGGCGCTAATGAAGGATGATAAGAAATTTTCGCTGCATTGGCAGCCTGGGGGGATAATTGCACGTCGGAAGAGATGGTGTTTTCTGAGTGGTATCCATTGAAATAACAAAGAGCAATATCAAGAGACCTTTAGCTAAGATATGTTCACTTTCGTTGGGAGCATTATCTTTCAAAGCGAGAAGAATGTTTGGGTTTCATGCCTCTGCATATATTTACTCAATTCGTTTATTGATTCAAAAAGATGTGAATACTTCCCAATATTCAACTGAATCGTTAATAACATTTAGCCGGTTTCAACATTATCAACAAATCACAGCATACTCTGTCAATGAAATCATGTTTTGCAAATTTTTATGATCTCTCTTGCGGTGGAATACATTTTCCCATTTTTTCTGATTGATCTTTCGTTCTGCATATCGATATCAATATCAATTCTATTACTTCCTGAATGTACCTCAGTTATATGTAGTACGCAATTTTATACAATTCATTTATGTTTCAGTGCAATCCAATTGCATGGTATCTAGCAGCAGATTTCCAAATGTATGTTTTCAATACATTCACATTCTATTTAGTCATCAAATACAAATTGAATGCCTTCAGAACATTCAGCATATTGATGGCTATAGCTTCAGTACTGTATGGAATAATTATATTCGTTTATGATATGGATATAATATTCAAACCTTCAATAAGGTATTGTGAAATATGAGATTCATTCAGGAAATATATTCGTTTCGTTTTCAGAAATATGGAATATAGGATTTTATCAAGGTCAATATTGTTCTTAATCACCTATCAGTCAACAATTTCAGTTTTCGGCTGTTGCAGTGTTGGTGTAATCCTAGGATTGATATACGTCAGAAACAAGGATAAAACAGTGAAGATTGATAATGTAAGTAGGTAGTATACTTCAAAAACACTGAGATGACAAGGAGATCGGTCTTATAAAATCATAAATAGGAACATTCCAGAGTTTTCGTTTTCTTGAATCATTCGTCTGATATTATAGATTTCTTCGTCTAACTAAATGAAGGTTATATACTGCTGTGGTGAGACCAATGATTGTATATGGATCGCTTGTCTGGTGGCCTGAGACTGAACAAAGATCAGCTATAATGGAGCTTTCGAAACTCCAGAGATTAGCTTGTCTCTGCATCACAGGTGCTATGCGCAGCACTCCTACCGCTGCTATGGAAACCATACTCAATATTCCACCTCTTGAAATCTTCATCAAGGCGGAAGCGAGGATGGGGGCATACAGACTGGAGTGTACCGGCAACTGGTATGCTCGGGGTGACACCCTGGGACATACAAAAATAATCAGCCAAGTTTCAAGCCCACTAATGGATATGGAAAGGGACAAAATTCTGCCTAGAAATAACTAATACAGACCCTCCAACACTCAGCTCTACTGGGATGAAAGGGTCTTGACTAACTGTCAGGAAGGCACGTAAGTGTGGTACACTGACGGTTCTAAGACTAATGAGGGCACGGGAGCCGGAATATATGGAGATAGACCAAGAACCAGGATGTGTGCTTCCTTGGGGAGGTATGCTTCAGTATTCCAGGCAGAGGTGCATGCTATTGAGGCATGTCTGAGAGAGAATATCGTAGGAGGATACAGAGGTAAACAAATCCTCATATGCTCAGATAGTCAGGCGGCCATTCAATCTCTAACATGCAATAAAATCAGATCAAAATTGGTCTGGGATTGCCTTCAAAGCCTGCTAACCCTGGCTAACCACAACAAGGTAACTCTTCAATGGGTGCCAGGGCATAAGGGAATTGAAGGCAATGAAGCAGCTGACGCTCTTGCCCGGCAAGGGTCTGCGACGTTGTTTATGGGACCGGAACCTGTGTTCGGTATCTCGAAAACCTCAATACGCGGCTGGCTGGCAAGGTGGATGCAAGAAAGACATCAGGCATACTGGAACAATGTCCCAGGACAAAGACACAGTAAACTGATGGTTGAAACACTGTCCAAAACAGTGACTAAGGACATTCTGAGCCTAAACAGAAGTCAGATCAAACAAGTGACGGGACTAATAACCGGTCATTGCCCCTTGAGGAAACATTATGCATCAAATGGGCATCTATACAGACGAACCCATATGCAGACTATGCAGTGAGGAGGAGGAAACTGCCACCCATGTAATATTGGAGTGCAAAGCACTAGCGCGTTGGAGATACAACCTTCTGGGAACAGTAAACTCTCAAGAGGCATTTTCAAAGAATGATCTGGTGAAGAGGCTGCTAAACCTCATCAAGGTAGCGAACCTGTTCAGCACCTAAGTCAACAGCATGATCAGGAATACAATAGGCCCAAAGGCTGCAGTGTTTTGGGCTTCAAACCCTGACTGATCATTATGCTATTAATCAATCAATCAATCAATCAAATGAAGGTTGATTCATCAATAACGATTGTGTGGTAGAAATTCTCATGGAAAATTATATTTCAGTCGATTCAGGGTGCAAGAATGAGATGAAGTATTCCTTTGGTGACCAGCTTTTTTGCATGTGTGCATAAGTTTTATGGAGTCAATAGTGAAAAACAGTTTGGAAAATCAACTGCATACTTCGAGTCAGTGGTTAGTCATTCTATCAATGTCTACTCAGATAGTAAGAAGCTTATTATGGATCTCAAATAAAAGAAGAAGTTGAATAAACTCAACTACAGATGGAAATATCTGATATTATTGGGAAAAAGTTTCAAATCATTGAATGATAACGAATTGAATTAACTGAAGGGCATAAGACGAGTAGAAAGTCTTTTGATATGTTAAATATGGATATTGTATATATGTAGTATGAATTCTTCAGTGAGAATGAAAATCCAATTCGGATCTGAATAATTTTAATACGATACAGTAACCATCGTAATAAACATAATAACCGATGCTCCTTTCATCTCCCAGTGTCATAATGTACAGGGTGGCCAACTAAGAATCCAGAGTTCGATACCTCTGTTGTCTTAAGAGATACAAGAAAAAATTTTGCATTCAAATTAAAGTGATAGCCGAGCTTCACATTTCAAAATTTCTTCGAAATATACAGGGTATTCCGCATGGTCACAGCACATCAAAAGTATGTTTCTTTCATTGGAACACCCTATATTTTTTTTCATTTTTGAATTCTCAGTGGAAGTTACTGACATATATGGTGTGCAAAATCTAGATTTTCCAAGTTTAGGATTTTTTTCTGTCGAAACTGTTCATTATTCGTCAAAACGGTTTACATGTCCCTATCTCAACTTTTCACTCACTGTCAATTGGTGTTCAATTGACATTCAATTAAAACAAATTATAAATTTAAAGTTGAGATGTAAACCGTTTTGACGAATAATGAACAGTTTCGACAGATAAGAATCCTGAACTTGGAAAATCTCGATTTTGCACACCCTATATGTCAGTAACTTTCACTGATAGACTCTGAGTATGGTGGGTAGATGAAATCACATCTTCAGGGAGAATTCAAAAATGAAATAAAATATAGGGTGTTCATATGAAACAAACATGAATTTGATATGCTGTTACCTCATGGAACACCCTGTATATTCCAAAATAATTTTGAAATGTACAGCTCGGTTATTACTTCAATTTTGATACATGACTTTTTTTTGTATCTCTCAAGACAACAGAGAAATCGAACTTTGGAGTCTTAGTTGGCCACCCTGTACATCTAGAAATCCCTATTATATACAGGATGTGAAAAACATGTAACACCTTCCCACCTTGAAAAGAAATGAACAATAACAACTCAAAGTTGAAAATCATTTCTTAATTGAACTGGCAATCTGATATTCCTCTCCGTGTGGTGGTGACATTGGAATTGATATTTGAAATCTCCATTGGTTCTGATGTTTCTTCAGGATCATCTACAGGGTATCCTATATCGTGATCTCTACAAGCTTCGTTCAATGTGTTGATTCCTCTATCTCCACGTGCAAGTCGTTCAGATGATTTGGTTTCGGGACCACAAAAATTATAACCTGGCAAATGCAATTAGAAGGGTAATCTATTTATGAGAGTGTTCAATGATCCTTTCCCTTTTATATCATTTCGAGCACCACACATCAGGAGCCTACCAAGATTCGAGCTCAGAAGTTCAGTACCGTAAGGCGGGGTGGGGTGACTTCGGACGATTTTTCAGGTTTTTCCGTGGTAACATTTTTGAAATGAATCAAGAATGTACAAATGTCTCATAGATTATTGATTAATCATTTCTTAATAGTTTTACACATATACCGAATGCAAAATTAGTTTTTTTATATTTTATTTTTCGGATTTTTTGCTGTCCGAACTTACCCCGCAGTGTGGGGTAATTTCGGACACGCTTCAAAAACCCGTTAAATACGATGTTTAGAGTGCCTATAATCAACTCCGGCCAAAAAATTTTTTTTAAATATTTCGAGGTAAAAACCAAACTTAACTTCAGAATAATAGTTATTTATTATACAAGGGAAAAAAAGTAGTAGATTTTAGCTCCAGGTTGTGTTGTCTCCCGACACGTAGCGGAGGGAGACAAAAAACCGTGAGCTGAAATCTAATATTTTTCCCGTGTATAATACACTATTTTTTTCTGTGACAGAAAGAAGGACGAATCAATATTGAGAAGATATCACATTATTTCGAAATCTGAAAATTATCGACGTGAAATTTCAAGTTTTTAACAGTAAGGACACCTGCGTTTTATAGGCATCTTTATCATTCTTTTGAAGTAATCAAATATCTGATGTCACTTCTGTCAGTTCAATTCTGTGATTTGATTTTAAAAAATTGCGAATTCAGTAGTTGTTTAGTAATATACGAAACCGCGAAGTCGAATGGAAGATAAAAGGACTTGCAGTTCTTTCTCGGAGACGGTATTATTGACTCATTTTTCGGAACTATAGCACAACAAAAACCATTAACAGAGAATATATATATGATATATATCCGGGAAAAAAGTACTCACTTTTTTCCCACGGGAAAAAAGTAATTTATGAAAAGTGACATTTTATAACCTGCCAACAAAGATGAAATGCCAAACTTTTTTCCCGTCACAGAAAAAAAGCATATTCTACAACTTCAAAAATATATTCCATTGAAAATAACAAAAAAATGAATAATGATTCCTAAAAACTAAAAAAATATTTAAAAAATAATAACAAAACAGTTCTCCTTGGTACATAAGAATAATTTGGTATAAGCTGTCCAGTAGCTGTCAAGTAGTATTTCGAACTATTCCAACGTTATTTCCTTGGGCAAATTCGAAAATGTATAACGTCCTTGAAGTAACGCGATAGGTTCGAGGATTTTGATTATCTCGTCCTTAGCTATAATACTTTCATCTACTACAGGTGGGTAATGAAAAAAAATTATATCGTCAATCTTCTTTCGTCTCAAAAAATTCACTAGATAATTTCGAGACTCCATGATTATAATGTTGCATGACTTCACAGGCATAAAAATATTTGAACTTGGAGGAATTCTCTAGAGGAACTTGCACAATCACAGATGAATTGACAGCAATACCCATTGCAGTTCCATCTGAGTCTTCCTCGTCTGTCGTTTTGGTCAGGTTTTCTTCAGTCTTATTCTGGTCGAAATCTTCATCAAGAGATTCGTTCATTGTAGTTTCAGCCTCAATCAGGTTTTCTCCTGCATCATGTCTAATGTTGCACCAGATTTTGGCACATTGTAATAATCCTGCGCCTCTCTGATCGACTTCCTTCCATTTCTCACGTCGCTCAATGTTCGTAGCAGTCTTTCTGCCATGTCCGAAATTGCCCCTTGAAATTATGAAATTCTAGTTATCACCCTGTATAAAAATTAGCTGATGAGATGGAGTGATCAAATTATGGCGAAGTATTCTTGAAACTAAACACTATCGGAATGTTCAGTTGAAATTGAGATACAGGCAACGTAATTAATCGCAGATCATCTTTATCTATTATCTTATGTGAAATACTTACTGAAGAGTGACTACACTGAGAGAAAACTTGAGTTATCATAATTGGAAATCTGATAACCGTTATTACGATATCTGCAATAAATAGGGGACAGATGTGTTCATTTGCTACCATAGATGAAGTGAATTTTCAGGTGACTTGTAGTTATGGCAGCTTATTCAATTTGCAGACTTGTATAAAAACACCGCTGCTGGATAACTACTACTTGATCTAGTTTCTATGATAACACAGAATGTCGAATAGGAATTATTCCCATAAAATGTTGCAGTAACTCTCCACTCTACAGTGGTTATTAGACTATCGACATAAAACAGCATGTTCTTATTACTGGCACAACCATCTTGAGGTAACGCAGTAATTCGTCTCATTTTATTATAGTTATCTGATATCTGCATGCAACCTGACATTTTGACATGCTATTGTAATGTAGCTCATTTTCAACAGTAATCCCAATATTTTTCTACTCTAGTAAATTCATCAAACAGTGGAAATATGGTTATCTAATCAACATTATTCGATGGTATGCATTATGTCACCGTGCTTTGAATTACTGCAATGAAAATAAATATCCTATCCACACTATCACTTTTCATGATCCAAAGTTATTGTTTTCAAAAAAACAAAAAAATACGTTTAGTCTCTGAATTGAAATATTTGGGTATCTGTGGAAGTTTTTTGACATTACTCATTGATTTTTTCGGAGAAATATCATCTATATGCATTACTGACCAATTTATTGAGAAATGAGAAGTTGAATACTTATATTTACCCTTCCTTCGGAGTTATGATGAGAATTGTCAATTAAACTTTCCTTACAGAAACCCAGATATTTTGATTCAGAATCTCATCGATCATTTTGTTCTTGAAATAAATCAATTTTAGGACGTGAGAAGTAGGTATGGAGAATACTTTTTTCATTGCAATAATGCAATGCACGGTGTATTTCACAGATCGGTTCACAGCCAGCACTAAAACAAAACTTTGCTACATCACAGACATTCACCTACAAGACACGGCTCTATCGAATCGGACGATCGAAACCTTTGAACAATAATTGAACACGAACACCTATGACCGAGAACAGCAGTGAAATGAACGCGATCTGTATCTTTGTCAGCCCCAATACTAATGAAACACTAGAGCGAAATGAGCCGAATTACGATTGTCGAATGATTGCCTAATAACCTCGCTAATAACCGTCATACATGCGAATTGCTAGAGTTATTCGTCAACGTACAATGCTAGAAACCCAAACAGCTATGATTATTGGGACAAACATTATCTGAATTCACCAATGAGCATAATCCACAAAACGAGCTATGTCAATAAAAAATCTAAATAGACTGGAATTTATAAAATTCTCATAATGTCATAACACACCTGCGTTATGATGGTAGCAAATGTCCATTCAAGGGTATTACAAATGATTTAAGAAATCGATTTTTATAATTACAGAATGGAGAGAATACTGTTGTAATAATGAAATGATCAGGAATAGGAGATTTCCTTATAATGGTTATTACAATCAGAGCTGGTAGATATTTTTAATATCCAGTTTCTCTCAGTGTATACGCTACCACTGTACTTCCACGACTAACCTAACAAGAATCGACAAAAATGCCTTTTAGTTTTATGAACTGCTTTAAGAGAAGCTGTGACAACTTTTATTTAGTTGGGCCCTTTATGTTTTGAGAAGGTTGTTTTATTGCTTCAATGATATTATTGAAATATGATGATTTTGAAAAGGCATTTCAAAATAGGCTCAACCAACCTCCTGTAGCTAACAATGAAACTGATAACGTTATTTGGAATTCAATTTCGGGACATTTTGTATAATAATAAGGTTCTCAATAAAGAGTTGTTATGGAAGAGGAAAGCGGAACTGAAAGAGGTGAAGGAATACTGTGTTCTCAAGATACAGGGTGTCGAAGTTGAAATTATTGATTGTTGTTCTCCATGACTACCCTGTATATAAGCTTTCATACTCAAATAATTATGCTGATGGAGACTAAGCATGGAAGTATCATAATATGTGAAAATCCATTATATAGTTTTCCAAGTTCCTTCACCTTGAAAAGGAACATTCCTCCACCTTCCATGTATTATTCTGTTTCAGATCACAACATTTTCCTGGTCTGCCATATTTCTTGGTTTACCGCTTTTGGTCATTTTGATTTCAAGACAGGAATATAGAGGAGTGTCGGCTGCTCTATTAGGACCTCTCGTTAAGCCTTTGTATGTCTTGGGAATCGGGATTGGAATCCTCGGAATGTCTTTTGGTATAGGAGGTATACTTTCCAATATAGTTCACTTCATACTTGATGGTTGTTAACGAAAACCGGGACACCTCTGCATCTTCTGAGATTTTTTAGTTCCGAAAATCAACATTCACTATTCTGGTCGAAATATCACTACAAGGAATGACGTGGAATGACTGTTGACAGTATAGTGAAACACTTGAAAAAGATCGAGGAGGAACAGACAATTTTCAAAGTAGAAAACGATTAGAAGTGATTTTCATCGTGAGGTCCACAAGTTCATGATTCTTACAAGTTTCATATGCTAATTTCCAGATGAATTAAATTCTGTCGATCTTAGAGAAGTTGCTCAAATCAGCACAATGACTTCTTCGAATATTTGTTGATGTATTCTCTGAATTCTCATGTCTGGTATTATGATTTTGAGATAATTTGAAGCCTCATTATATAAATATAACCTCTATCATCTATAATATGTCAATTCTCTCATGCAAGGTCATGAAGTTTCTCGTTTTATTATCAAACGTCATTCCCTTCATACCACTGCTAGCAGAATGGAACAATTTGAAGGCAACTATTTTCTCAATTCTAGTCCATACCCAAAAATACACATGTTTGATTGATAATCGAGAACATAATATTTTAAATTTTGTATCTCGGCAGTTGTATTTTATATTTCACTTTTTCATTGGCAGTTTGATCAAATATGAAACAGAATATTTTACCAGCAGCAGGCTGCCTTAGATCTCATAATATTTTCATATTCAGGAACTCAACAATAAATCGTGATAGGCACACACTTTCAATTTGTATCAAAAAATTTGAGAATTTTTTTTATGATTGGCATTTCGAACACCTTTAATATCAACTTCATGAACAACTGAGTAAATTGTTAACCTCATAACCATGAAATAATTTCAAACCTGACAATCCTTGAACAATATGATAATTGAGTGACGCACTAATTTCCTTGATGGATCTATGTATGCATAATGCAACGACTGTATGGTATATGAAAATACGAGATAAAATTATTGTTTTATTGATGAAATAATGAATGAAATGATCTAAACAACTACAACTCACTTCATTGATGATCATCAAAGATTCCTTCTCGCTTTCGAAAAAGATCTTTCTCCAGAACTGTACAGGATGTTCTATATAAAAAGAATTATTTGGACTTCATCATCATTTCGTTCAAGGAGTGCCTAATGATAGTACAGGGTGTCTCCTCATATTTTGAACCCTACCATCAGCTTCAACCAAGGCTCTAACTATACGAGGTGGACAAAAACGTTCAATATAAAAGGTAAAGGGTTTCATCTGTATGCTATCTAGTGACACTCCTCAAATGAATAAATGCGAATCACAAAATGAAAAAACAAACCAAATAACTGTTTTCAAACGAATCATTCTGTATATTTTCAACTGTTTCTTATGATAACAAATATATATACAGGGTCGCTGATATGTATGGAAACAGGTGAATATCTCGGCAATCTGTTGTTAGATTTTTTTGAATTTATGTACAGTGTGATTTCAAAACAAGGCGGATTTGAAAATGTTATAGCCTCTGTTGCCACTTTTTCAGTTATTCCGGATTTTTAGTAACTTCCTTATTTTGAATGAAACACCCTGTACTTTATTGGATTACCAGATTCTCCTTGAAGAGCTGATTCCATCGATCTATCACACTTGGGGTCGAGCGGGAATGATTACATAGGTATAGGGTGTTTAAAATCTAGGTTTTTCAACTTCAAGATTTTTTTGTGTAGAAACTATCCATTATCGATCAAAACCGCTTCAATGTTCCTATCTTCACTTTTGATTTACCATCTACTGACTATTTGATTGGAACAGATACAGAGGGTGATCAGAATTCTGAATCTTGAACCACCCTGTATTTGTTTCAATTAAATGTCAGTAGATAGTAAATCAGAAGTAAAGATGGGAACATTGAAGCGGTTTTGATCGATAATGGATAGTTTCGACACAAAAAAATACTAAAGTTGAAAAATCTAGATTTTAAACACCCTATACCTATGTATTCATTCCTGCTAGACCCCAAGTGTGATAGATCGATGGAATTAGCTCTTCAGGGAGAATCTGAAAATCCAATAAATTACAGGGTGTTCTATTCAAAATAAGGAAGTTAATAAAAAATCCGGTATAACTGAAAAAGTGGCAACATTGGCTATAACATTTTCAAATCTGCCACGTTTTGAAATCACACAGTACATAAATTCAAAAAAATCCAACAACAGGTTACCGAGATATTCACCTGTTTCCATACATATCAGCGACCCTGTATATAGTTACCTATTGTTTAGTTTAGCCGCTTTCTACTGAATTCTAGCTGCACTACTGTAATACTTACAATATTTGCATAGTATAATCTCACCATTTCGTATTTCTCGTTGTCGGAATAACACATTTCAATTGAGGAACCGACAGAGATGACAAAAAATGCTCGTTCTGTTTCCATGGCCTCTCTGTTGTATTCATATTCATTGAATTGTTATTTGAATTCTTTTTCAATGCTAAATCAATAAAAAATTACTTGAGGAAATATCAGCAAACTGTATAAATCTGTGAACAGAAGAAAAAGATCTCTTAAGGAGTACCAGGAGATAATAGGTACAGATGGAACCCTACAACTTCCATATTCGAAGTCATTTTTCACCTAGTATATTTGAAACTGTCGGTATCGTTATGTGATCAAGTATTTGCAGCAATATAGAAGCCATATTATTATAATTGAGAGAAATTGTGGCAATATTATCTTGATGAGAAAATCACTCAAAATTTCAACTCAGTACATCAGTGATCGTTCGCACATAGCTTTTAATCACTAATTCGGAATTTTACTCCAATTAGGACAGGGCTCGTTCTACTGATTATCAGTCAAGAATTTAGTTTTCAGTGTATTCCTTCATACCATTGTAAATTAATACATATTTCTTTTCATGTTTCAGTAGTGGTTTTCAGATTGTATATTTGATTGAAATGTTTTCCTTATTGATGTGATTGATGTATCATCTGAATTTCTTTCGCAGGTTTTCTGAAGAAGATATGTGAATTGAGGTTTGTTACAATCATGGGAAATTTCAACTACTGTATTTATATTTGCCATCTACCAATATGTTTTATGAGACCAAACGATATCCTGTTACCCATAGAAGTAGGATATTTCAAAATGGTAAGCATTTTCTTCACAATTGAATTCCATTTTCATCTCATATTTTCCGCCTGAGACTCACCCTATTTGCGAACAAGAAGCACCATATAATTTATTCCGTAGTCATTCATTTTCACATGGTGAAACCACTATCCTTTGTTGAATCAGAATATACGGATATAAATAATATATCAAATAGAACCTATTGGAGGCATATTAATTAAATTCGATTCATCATCCCGTCACCACCTAAACACCCTAACTTTGTCAAAATAAGGTCACCAAAATCAGATAGATATATAAGGCATCCTCTCGTTCTTGGAACTGATAATATTCTCATTCGTTCATGTCCTCGATTGCATCAAAACTTCATATACGATGTGCATTAATGAACGACTCTTTTTTTCTCGAATACAAGGTCAGTTACCCTAGAAGCAAGACACACACTGTATAGTGATTCATTTTATATTGTTGATGATTTTGATAAGCTAACTTTGTTGCGTGTAGCTGATGCATCTGAATTAATGCTGTTAAAAAAAAAATCATGAAATATCCTAGATTAAGCTTGACAAAATCAAAATTGGCTTCTTTTTCGAAATCAATTGTTGTATATTTCATTACATAACACTATGAATACATTGGACGTAGAGACAATACTCAAAGATCATGCTTTGCAATACAGAGGCCTTCACTAACCTCTATGGCGTTTGGAGTACACAACTCAAAATGGAAATTCCAAATGAAGAAATGAAACTACTACAACAAGGAAACTAGTTTCTGAAAAATGAAATTGAAAAATCAGAGAGAAAACAAATAATCTTGTTATCTTCGGACTCAATGAAGAGAGCAGGAACATTACCTCCCAATATATCAGATACCAATTCTAGAAACTCATGAATATAGAAATGACCAAAGAGGATATGAAAAACTCATATTGTTGAGTCAGTTACCGAAATTGCTTTGTTGAAATTGAATTGGTGTCCAACCTAAAGAAGAAGTGCATTTGAGAACACGCAGAAAAGCTCAAAGACACAAATATTTCAGTTGCCTTTGACCAAACCATTCAACAAAGAAACGGATCCAAACTGCTGATAAACACCTGGCTAAACAATAAAACAAAGGCGCCCAAAATTGTTTCATCAAAGGGGACAAATTGGTGAGAGGGAAATCAACTTATACCCTCCAAGATTCCTTAGAAGTTGAAAGGAGCGAGAGTAGTAAAGATTGGCCGGTTCTGGCTCTCCGCCCTAGGTCACCGTCCTCCGACCTTGGGCGGAGTGACCTTGGGCGGGAGTGACCTTGGGCGGGAGTGACCTTGAACGGGTCTGACCTTGGGCGGGAGTAACCTCGTATAGTGAAGTGTCGACAGCACGCCCTTGAACGCGGAGGTGACCTTGAGGGCGAGACAAAGTGACCTTGAAGGAAGGTTGTACGAGTAACCTTCGCATATGTGACCTTGGGAACGAGTGACCTTGAGTTGTAGAGAGAGAGAGAGAGACCTCGACCTTGGAGAGGGAGGTGAAAGCGTGTGCGACCTTGAAAATGGGAGTAGGCTGGTCGAGGTCGTTTTGGTAGAAGTGGGGTGCTGTGTTACGTCACATATCCCAGTTCCTATAAATACATCATTGTATCGTCTGCGAGAGCATAGTTCTCCTAATAATACGGAAGATACGCACCACCAACTCGCGCATAAAAAATATACCCGCTCAAATTGATTGGGAATATAAAGTGTTTGCAATAAAAGTGTACGTGAACTGTTATATGTAAGTAAAAATTATTTATATACTTTTTACACCTCTTTTCACTCAACAAAGAAGAATTTATAATGGCAGCTCCTAAAATTGATTTGTTAACGATAAATAATCGAATTAACGAAGACAATGATATTATCAAGCAAACTGTTATCTCATCACTACTCTTGAATAAAAGCTATGTGGTCAAGAAAATATCACTATGTGGAACCAGGTTTGGTAGGAGCGGTTCTGTAATATTGTACGATGAAGAAACTGAGGCTAGTCTGAAATGTTGGTTGCCCAAAAGAGTTGTAGAGTTGCTGAGTGACAGCGACATTGATGAGATGAATTCTTCAAATGGTCTTTATACTCTAGCATATTTGGGCCAGAGTGAGCCATTATATGTAGGTGCAAAAACGAGGGCTCTCATCAAGTTTGACTTCAAGCAAAATTAATTCGGAATTATTCTACTTAATTATTTCTGATAGGTTTTTTTAGTATAGTTTAGTGAAAAGGGTTTAAAAATTATATGATAATTATTATTACATTAACACAAGCCACTGACGCAGATCGTACCGTTTGCGGTAAGTAATAAATTAGGTTCCAAAAAGAATTCAATGAAAGACAAATCTCCCAAATAATCTCATCATTACCAAACTTTTTTTTTTTTATCATTTACAGACTCCTGTTCCCCAACATGTGGATGTATTATTCTAGTCAATTCTGGCCGGCAGCGGAAGACATCAAATCAGCAGTGAGCAGGTTGAAATGTCAGTTCTCTGATTTGTCACGTGATGCAATGCATGCGACAAATTATGATTTGAGCATATGCTTCGATCGAGAACAAGTTGAACGACTCTGTAAACAAGCCGAACAATATAGAAAGGGTTATATGTTATGCGCCCGGTTCGAATATGGTAGCTTCACTTTGGAGGAATTTCTTGAAGCAATGGTGGGAGAGGACTTGGACCAATTTCTGTATGAAATTTTTGATTTCCTACCAAACAGCCTGATACGGAAGTACAACTTGGGGGTAATTCCAGAATCATCCGACAACGAGGAGGAAGGAGAAGAAGAATCGAAATGATGATATTGCTAAGAGATGCTTCAATCATACTATTATCATTTGCATGTATATATATAAATTATGGAATGATGATGATGAGCTCGCATTTTTCATTGTCTATCAATCAAGAAATAAAAACGATGATTTGTAAAACATTTGTTTACTTTTATTCAATTTAGTGCAGATACATGTGTCGATAATAATAATAATAATAATAATAATCATGATGATAATAAATAATAATGAACATAATAATAATAATGAAAAAACTGATCTAATACAATTATAGGCTTCGAATGCTCATGGTCGGCTGTGGCGGTGGTGGTGGAGGTGGACGGAGGTTAGAATTTGCTCCAGATCTGTAGAGTGTATTCAAGGAGCACCCAACTGTATTGAACCATCTAGTGCGCTATATGTCAAAAATGCATCGTGAAGAATGAGCGCATATACCTTGGTATTAGATGGAAATTTCGATTGGCGTGTCTCAAACTCCAACTTGATATCGACAGTTGAAGATTTCAATGTGTCCGGTTGATGGCTGCAGTCTATGATGAATAACGGATTTTTTCTAAACTCCTCAATACTCATCATTGGTTCGCTCATGTCTTTACCATAATAGCTTCGTTGGAAATTATCGTATGCATAATAGGCTACAGCATCTAACTTTTTTCCAAAATCCAAATTCCACCGTTCATAAGGGTAAACTTCCGAATTCAAATACAGTCGAATATTGTTGACTCCCGCATGAATGAATTGGGTGGTATCCTTGGATCTATTATCTGTGTTACCAGAATTTTGGAAGCCTATGATAATGTACCTTGGTCGCTCGAGACTATTGGTGGTTTTAACAGCCCAAATGTCTGAAGATGTTTCACGAATTGACGGTAATTCATACAGATCCCACATCCTGTATGCAATTTTCACTTTTGCTGTAGAACTTTTATTGAGACGGTTCAGTAATTTCAACCTCTGCTTATCCGATGGCATAATATGTCCTATCTTCCATTCGATTTTGTTAATCTCCACACTGGCATCAACTTCTCCTATATAGCAGTTTTTGAATGATCGAGCTATGATGAGTATCAGCTCCTGTTTCACATTCAATATACCTTTATTATAATCCTCAGCGAACCCCATTAAATATTTTAGCGGTAGTTTTCCACTGAATATGTGACTAGATTTGTCTAGAATTGGCTGATTTTCGCTATCAATTCCCCATCCGACTGTTTCAAGAAATTTAGCGTTAGAATCTCCATAAGAGATCATGCTCTTCATTGTGGTAGTAATGCCTGGTTTTCGAATCATGCATACTTGTTCGCCACCCATTTCATAACGAATTTCATCGAAGAGGAAGGCTAAGGTATTGTTAGATAGATAGCAGGATTTCGTTGCATCATCTGGTGTGAATTTCCCCTCAATATATATGTAGCTATCAGAAATATCGAGTATCAAATCTTGAAAGTTGACAGCTATCCTGATTTCATCAGAATTCTTGAATGATGGTGAACCATATGGTTTGTATGTATGCTCATGTAGGCTAATTAGTGAATGATCGAAAATTGGTTCATCAAACACCTCCAATTGTAAGCTAGTAGAACTTGTGACAACCATTGTTCACTAATTTCTACTCGTTCGTCGTCGTCTTTGTCGTACTGTCAGACCAATAGATTCCAAAAAATTTATATCGCTCGCAGATAATCTATGACGTCCTACCTGACCGGTGAGCTGTCTTTGAATGAATCCTCTACCCCGTTTACACTTCTTCTTAACGGTAGTGTGTAGAATAGTGGGGTTTGCAGCGAGAGATACACGTTTTGATTGGTTTCCGAAGCAGAAACCCATTTTTCCAAACCGTTGTAATAATTAATCGAGCTGTTTCAATTCCAATTTTACTATAATCTTCTCTCCGCGAAAGTCAACTAATCGGTCATTATCATCCAAAATTCTCAGTGTGATGTTGTCGATAGACTGACGCCCTGTCGGACTGATTGGTAGATATATAATATTTTTCGGCTCCTTTGAGAGTTTGTATCCAGGCTCCACATCGACATCGAACTCGTAAAGCGTGTGAACCTCCTCACCATTGAGGTACGCTCCAGTAGTGATATTACAATCAACCCGTATCAATCGTACCTTTATGATGTTCACAGGTAAAGTGGATTCATGCAAAACATTGGGCTTGTAATATTTCGGTTCAAAGCCCAAGACTTTGGCTATAGAAT